TTAGTTAATGAGGTCAAGATGGCAAACAGCTCATTAATTTCAGTCTACATGTAAATATTTCGCGAACTAAGCAAGATATGACAAATCGGTAGTAGAGTTTAATATATAATTTTAAGAATTCTTTTGAATGAGACAAACTATTTTTTTATTGCCAATGTCCTTTTAGTGCGAAAGTTTCTGGAGCTAAAAAAATTGGATCGGAAATTTGGGTAAAAATTGGATCGGAAATTTTCAAAACCCTCTCTTGCTTCTTCGACATACTGTGCTTTTAATCACATTACACGAAGACCTATTGCACATACACTGTACCAGCTACATGCAAAGCTAGCTAGCGTACTATCAAAGCTAAAGCTCTATAGAGTCTAGTGCTTAGTGAAATCCTGCACCTACAGTATACATACAGACGAATTCAATAACAGCGATATTTTTATTCAGGGTTCTGCCAGGCGCACTTCCCCCTGTAGTGCTGAAGAAAACTGATTCTGGAGGTCGCAGAAGTCCTCGGGACGAGTCCTACCAAGACGACGCTCGACCTTCCGTACAACTACGACATGTAGAACGAGATTCAGAGGCCGAGCAGTACGACGAGAGGATTGGGGTGAAGGTTTCAGATCTGTTTGATATTGGCAAAGACATTCAAGCCGGAGGGGAGTATATGGAAGATGGCAGACGTGTTGAACGAAGTGATGAACGTCGCTACAGAAGGTAGACATTAAATGTTGTTGCGTAGTTTAAAACATCGGGACGGTTGCATCTAACACCCGACTGATAGGGGATCTGACCGGACCTCTAGGACAAGGCTGGATTTGGATTTTCACCAGAGGCATAACCAGGGGGGGGGATAGCGGGGGGCGACGGGGTCCGGACTCTTCTTCAGGACCAATTTTGTAATTTCTTCAAAACTGAGAACTGGGAGGGGGAGCGTAACCTCTTAATGTTTTAACTATGACATAAAATATACCAAATATGTGGCTTTCAGATTATCATAAATGCATGAAATAGCGTTTCGTATGCCATAAAGATAGAAAACCTTTCTAGGGAACCATGCCCCCGGACGGCTGTACCCCTCCACTTGTTCGGGGAAATACTGTACTTACACTCTCAAGGGAAGTACTGTAATCATGCCATCTCTTCACATTTCCCCTTAAAATCCCGCCTTGTTCTAGGAAGGACAGTTTAGAATAGATAGAGACATCCAGTTCAAATAAAGTTAGTTCAGTTCTGTATCACCGTTCCCAGAGGATTATAACTATTCTTTCATACGTACGTACGTTCACCTGAAGTGTTTATTTTCACCACGTATTTCTTCGTCGTAAGAAGTTCTGAATTTTTTTCTAAAAATCATCACTTTCAATTAAAGAATATTTTCACTATTGTTCCTTACCGCCTCCCCCATTTTCGCAGGTTATTCGTATAGGGAAAGTGTCGACATTTTGATTCGGCCCCTCGCATCTTCATACGTATCGGTAGATGAAAATGTTCAAAAATAGATCAAACTTTGTAAATCTCTGTTCACAAACCAAACAAATTATTTCGCCCCATTGTTTGGCAAACTTAGCTAAAAATACTGTATCAACTATCAACATTTCGACTTTTTTTCTTGTCTCATCAAATAAAAAGGAAAACACTTTTAAAATACTCTGGTTAGAATTTTCTGGGTCAGTATAAACCATAACCCTCGTTATATTTCCTGATTATTTTAACCTTTTTCCTGCTATAGTCTGGTTAATTTGACCGGAACGTCCTGGCTAAATTAATCAGACTTTGTTACGTGGATAATAATATACATAGAGGATATTACTCGACTGTGATTGGTACGTTGATTTTAGTGCAGTAATCTCAAACAGCAGTGCAAAATTCTGTAACAATAGTGCAAAATTCTGTAACAACAGTGCAAAATCTTTAACAACAGTGCAAAAATCTGTAACAAACTAATCTGATTGGTGGAAAAAACAATGGGATGTAAAATCAACCAATCAGCTTTTAGCACTCCTCAAGTAACGGCCACAGATTGCTTCAAAACAAAACAAACATGGCGCCGCGCTACATGGAGTAAAAGTTGAGTTCGAGTGAAAAATATGGCTTTTATCTTTTTTTAAATGGAAAAGACTTACCTTAATTAAACAAGACTAACAAAACTTACATGGTAGGATGGTTTCCCGTGAAATTTGGATAAAACAAGCACTCGTGAATTTTTCGAAGACCTCAAATAGCACTCGTCCTTCGGACTCGTGCTATTTTGATGCTCTTTGGAAAACGCACTCGTGCCATAGATATCTTATATACACTAGATAGTGAATCTAATCCCATGAAATGAGAAGATTCGTATGTTTTCTATTTCTTAAACAGGGAACTTAAACATTAAGTTGACCCTATTCCAAATACGTTTTTAAACTATTCAAATGATGAAAGACCAACATGGCCGCCATCTATTCAAATGGGGGTAACCGCTGGAATATTCTTGGCTTCAATTTTACTAAAAGAGATGCGCTATCTAGTCTATATAAGATATCTATGACTCGTGCAATTTTTATCCAAATTGCACACGAAACCATCCTTTTATCTATACTGACCAGGAAATTCTAACCACAGTGTTTTTATACTCCAGAATAAAGCTGTTGTGTAACCTTACTGATAAACCATTAAATTTAAATGAGGTTATTAGTATTACAACATTAGGTGTTTCGACCTTTTGTATTTTTGACGAAATGAAAAGAAAAACCCTTCTGAAATCGTAACTGTATAACACTTCACCCGCCTTTGCAGTGACAGTGATGACGACGAAGCGGGATTTTCTCGCGGCCCGCGAGAATCTCGCGTGACTGACACGCAAGACGTGGAGAGACGCGGCGAGCAAATAAATGAGGAGCTGGTGCGGACTACCGTGAAACCAGTTGAAGCGGGCCCAGTCGATTTTGAAGATGTGTTCAGGTAGATTGGCGCGCAGTCCTGGGACCTAGGCTCGCTTCGGTGTTAATGATTGACTGTTTTATATATTGAAATTATTTTTACAATTCTGATTATGGATGTTAATGGATCATTTGGGTGGTGAAGAGAAAAATTGAGTGAAATGATTGATTGGAGAATGTGAAGTGTGGGGCTGATGTGATATGTTGTTCTGTTTTGTTGCGTTTTAAGAGGACATTTTTTGTATGTTACCTAACACGCGCTCAAAACTAGTGAATATAATATTCCAACTTGGTTTTGACCAGTTTTCGGCAAACAAACTTAAAAAGTATATGTTTAGTGCTTTGTCTATAAAATACTGCCAAAACGAAGAGTTTTTAGATGGTACAACGCCTTAGAAAAAATGTCTGATGTGCAGTAAGCTTTACTTATATTGCTGTAAATATATAGCCTCAATTCGAAAGCACCATTGATGACAATTTTTAACTATTATTATTTAATTTTTTTCATCCGGCAGATGCATTTAAAAAGGTAGCTAACTGTATGAACAAGAAAATAAAGAAACGCCAAAAAGACTTTCCATAAACAACATTTTCAAAATCTCCGAACCCTTGAACTGATTGCGAAGTCCCTTTAAAGTCATGAAATTTTTTCGAAGTTCTGTTTGTTTAAAATTGGCAGTTTAAAATGACACTAAAAAGCCAATATAAAAAAAACCCAACTTAACTGTATATTGTATAACGAAATATAAAAAATATTCACACGGCCCTTAAAATACAGTTAGGCGGTGATAAGAATCACGGAATTAATTTTACGTAGCCTAATCGCAAGATAGTACGCGACATAGAAAAAATTGTCTCTTAACGTTAATTGTGTGAGTTGTATATGTGGTTATTTGTTGCTTTTTGCGGCATCATGATTTATTGATTGTTAATATTGATTGATCAAACTATTTTCAACAACAATTTCTAAATTGATCATATAATGATTTTACTGATTACGTTAATGCTCAAATCACCAAATCAATCGTATAATTGATTAATATTTATTGTGATTTAAAGTATTATTAATGAAATACATACATATTATATAGAAGAGTCAATCATTGACACTGAAGTGTTGCAATTAAGCGGATATTAAGTTCAAGTGCGTCAGGTTAGCAAATTTATTGCGTTGCCCTTGGCTTATGTTGGCAAGGTGACGAAACTCGTGCAATAATACATTTGGCTATGTTAATTCCGTTTTAAAGACATTCACATTATGCATTCACTTCACATCATTCCATTCTATCTAGTAATCCTATGTGTCCCAACAAACAGCATGAATTCACATTGTGCATTATCACTGAACAATATTTGAACAGGAAGTTCGAGTCACTAAATATGAGTGGAGGTTCTTCATCTTGATATTGTACACCAAGACATTGAGAGTAAAAAATTAGTTTATTTCATTTGAAAGGAAGGGTTTTTAACAGCTTTTCGGTAATTTTATAATGCATGGCTAATGGACCATTTGCATTACAGCCTAAATTTTGATCTAAACAAGTCTAGACAGAAATTTCTAGAGCATCACAAAATTAGTAATATTCCAAAGTTTCGTTGCGAAATGTTGTAAAATGTGGATAATATAACCTTGCGAAGTTTGCCGTTTTTCAGTCATTTTGCATTACGCGGGGGAAATTGACAGCCCAATACCCTTTGGGGCTGTCAATTTCTCGTTTGTACTTCGTAATACAAAATGACTGAAAAACGGCAAACTTCGCAAGGCTATATTATCCGCATTTTAAACATTTTCGCAACGAAACTTTGGAATATTACTAATTTTGTGATGCTCTTTCAAGCTGTGATGAAATTTTTGTCTAGACTTGTTTAGATCAAAATTTAGTCTATAATGCAAATGGCCATTGACGATTATGTGCTGCGATACCCATCTGTCTATGCGTATCAGTTTAATTCCCATATGCATTCACATATACATTCACAACATACATTCACCTCTATCACTGCTTAACAAATTTTACATTGTTCCTTAACTAATTCTCTCCCCCATTATCTATAGTTCTCAACAGACTACGAGCAATCGTACTCAGACCACGACAGAGTACAGGACTAGTTACCAGGTCACGAAGCAAGCACGAAACACGGTTGTTGACACTCGTGGCGGACGGAGGGTTGAAGGTGGTGTATTCAGCGAGTACTACCCTGGGCGCTCACGTGCTAAGATTGTGAATATTGATGAGGAGAAACAAGGAGGATATGTGGGACGTGAGGAACCTCAAGTGAAGGTAAGGGATATACGAGGGCCTACGAAGGATGCAGCTCAACAAGATCGAGACGAAGTCTCTCTAAAGCCTGCTCCTCGTTACGACGCAAGCATAATAAACATAAGAGGGATCAAACGTATTGACTTCTTATGCACTGTCCTCAATACGACGCAACATAAACATTGTAGTGAGGATAACACAAGCATACAAACACCTTTATAACTCGTGTCTGATCACGGGACGTAGCTACGGTGGAAGGCTCAATGTGTTGTACAACCTTTCTCTTTAGAGTTCTACAAATAATTCGTGTTCGATCTTGTCCGATCACCACGTGAATTGGTCTGACATATTGTCAGACGACGTTTTTAGAATCTTTAGAATCACCCTTACATATATAATCACCCTTAGAAAGCCTTGGACTTGACCAGGTTAAGCTGCGTCCTCCGCAATTCAGCTGAGGAGGGGGCAGACCCAGGGCTCGAAGTAGAGAAAAAATATGGCCTGCCAGTCTAAATTTTTTGGCAGGTGAAATAAATTTTAGCCTGCCATTTTTATTCATTGAACTGCCAAAATGGCGATGTCTCATATGAGTCATATTGTAAAAATTAATGTTTTCATGATATGCATTTTTATTGTTTTTAAACTTGTCTATTTTACTACAGTAAACTTTGATTCACATTTCAAATATAAACGTATTTAGTCAACTAAATGATCTAGTATATATGAGTTGTGGTAATCAAATGAAATGAAATATATCTATGGAATTTCACCTGCCAGTTTGGCAGTTCTAAAGTATGGCCTGATTCTAAAATAACAGTTCTAAAATATGGCCTCATTTTGGCCATTGGCAGCCCGCTATTTCGAGCCCTGGGCAGACCCCCTACAACTTTGCGCTTTTCCACTTCATAACTTCCAAGTTAGATTCCTTTTCCTTGACCCCTCCCGCTCCTGACGAATCCCCAAAAGAAGCTCTGGTGCAATACTGGTAATTATTATTTTGTTGTATCGACGAAACGCTTATTATACTAATATTCCCAGTAAAATTATTTAATTATTTCCAATCTAGATGGAATACGAGAACCGCGTATCTAGTGAGCCACCCTCGTACGACCGTCGCCCACCTCCCCCAAACCATTACGATGATGAGCCCCCGCCAAACAGGCGCCCTCCCCCTCCCTCGGATGACCAAGCCCCTAACCGACCCAAACCTTACTCGAATGTGTACCCACGGCCATTTGGAACGCAATCGTCCGCCTACTACTCCGACTACCGCCGTACCGCGACGGATTATAACGACGGGCGACAATACAATGGTGAATACCAACAACCAGTGCCAGAGAGCGCCACATATCGGTATGGTAGCACCGCTTACCGTAATCCAGCGACGGATTACGACGACGCACGAGGAGACGCGACCAGGTAAGAATGGATTTAAAATATTATTGGTCTGATATACTGGGTGTATGAAGAAAGGTAATCCAACGTTAATACAGCTAATTCAAAAAAGGTTGTCCTTCGAAAATCTCAAACCTTAAACTCTAAGCGCGCAAAGAGTGACGGGTAACTTTTTTAGCGCTTTTGATTGGGCAAATAATCCTAGTACACTGCTAGTTGCACATCGTAAGTGCTTATTATCTGTCTTGCCATAGCTACAATGCACAATTCGCACGTTTTAGGCCTTAAGTAAGAAAGATGTGAGATTTTTGAAGGACAACCTTTTTTGAAACAGTTGTATATGCGTTACCCATGCATCTCATTTACCACATTTACCCATACACCTTTTAAAAGACCCATTTCCGCAGAAAGAAAATTTTGTAAAATGTGATTGGCCGACACCAATTTTTCGTCGGAAAAAAAATTGAAGTTGAAAATTTTCAACTTTTAACAATGATATTTTTGGAAAATTTTCTGTCCGTGAAAATTTTTCTTGAGTGGAAATGGGCCTTTACACTGGCATACCTTAGAATAAAATTACGTGAACTTGCGATTAAAGCTCAACCGCTGGACTCTAGACTGGTTAGAGCGCTGCACCGGAATCGCAGGACCGCAGGCTCGATTCCTGCCAGAGAGTATTTTACGCAGTTGCTCCTGGTTTGGTGTAAAAATGTAGTAAATTTACACTCTAGATATTCATGTAGAAAAACAAAAAGTACTGTATTGTATACTGTTCGTCTGAATGCGCTTTGTTTTGGAGGATTGATTACTACGATCTTCACTCGACCTTGGTTTGTCGAAATGTTTGAACGCTCAAAAGAAACGTTTTGTCGTCGCGCAATAAATGTTGTCAAGGCGGTAGTACTATATATCTTGTCATGGTCATTTTTTATGAATGTTGTTGTCTAGGCCACTTCGAAAATGTTTACAGGGCCTTGTCAGGCGTAAACTAAACAATTTAATTAAAACTAAAATAGACAATTTAAAGTATTTAAACCATAGAGGATCGCGTTTTAGGCAACAATTTGAGAGTGTCTATTGAATAGTGATGAAATTATATATCGAAATGCTTCAATGTTCACAAAACTGGTTATTTCGACAAATTTAGACTAAGCAAGCACCTCTGGTGGCAACGTCAGAACGTCTTTACAAATTTTTCAACATTCGTTCAACGCTTAACAGCGCCTAGGCGACATTCAAAAATGCCCTTGACAACATACATTGCACGTGACGGAAAAAGCATTTTCTTGAACGTTCAAACAATTCGACAAAACAATTGGCGTTCCGATTCTTATGATGGATGATGTGTTCAGACCAGCCACGGTTCTATTAACCGTGGACCAGCCAAGCTGAAAAGTTTGCTTGACCGTTGTGGGAATCGAACCATTAGTTTGCTAGTCCAGTGCTCTACCAACTGAGCTACGAGGTCAAATCGGTTCGAATAGTATGTTGTTAGTGACAATCGTATGTCAACTTCATGTAATCGCATTATTATTCTAGCTATAAAAAGTTTGTGGTTAATTTTGTAACAATACGAATGTGAATGTATGTTTGGATATATCTGCTTTTTGTCCTCACACAATGCAAGGTGATTATTAGTTGAGCGCTTTTCTCCAAATTATTTATATATCTGCATGTCTAAGAATGGCTTCTATAAATTTTTCTCCAGTAGTTCACTAACAACTTGTGTTTATTTATTTTGAATTATGCATGAAAATTGCTAAACTTGTTTTTCATTATATTTTCTATTGAATTAGCATTTCTCACGAATGCCAAAATCCGCCATCTTTGGGGTACTGTCTGCCCTCGTGAATGATTCTAGACAATTCAAACAACGTGAAAAGCGACTTTTAAAAGTTGTAACATTTTACAAACAATTACAGTGCTAAAAAATTGTATTTCGGGGTGAGGAGACTCTCGAACGTAGGAGAGGCAGTACCCCCAAAAATGGCGGGAAAACTGGCCGTGTTAAAGGCTAATTAAGATGGTATGGAACAGCTTTTTAAAATCAAAGTTATGTAGCTAAATCATTAAGATATTGTTGAATTGATTCTAAGTGAACCTTGATTTTATTCTAATAATCACCTTACGTTGCTAATCACGTTCGTTTTGTTCTAATTTGATTATCTGATAGAATTGATTCTGTGGAAAATTTTGATATTTTATCCTCTTACAATATGACTGTAAACCGATAATAGTATGTGTGAACTCATGCCAACATAATAGATTATTTGTGTTTGCCAAATGCAGAGCCATGCAGGCTTGAAATCGACTGAAATCTCTCAAATCACCTTGCAATGTGGCGGGACAAAATGGCGGCTATCTGAAACATACGGACCAATCAGCATCGTTAAGGAAATCACGTGTTTTGTGTTTAGTGATTTCGAGTCTGTTGGCGATGATGAGCCCACGGTCGTGGCTACAGCCCGCGGTTACTTCACGTCACGTGGCGGTATTCTGACCTCGGAGGAAACTGGAGTGAGCATTTATATTCCGTCTGGCGCTATCCCGCCTGGAATTGAACAAGAAATATATTTTAAAGTTTGTAACGATAATACGATGTTGCCACCTTTGGATACCGAGAAAGGTGAGTGCTTGGTTTTGCTGCTTCGAACCTGGTTTTCACTTGCGAATCTAGTACAAGTGATTAAATATATTTCTCCTTTCTTAAGTTACACTGCCATTGCCCATTGGCTTTTAACCAAAATTATCAGATTCAAAAGGTGGAACATATTAGCTTTGAAAGTGTTATGGGTTTCTACATTGTCGCAGTTTTAAGCGAGCCTGTGTGACTTTCAAAGCAGAGTAACGCTCGACTTAACCGTTGCATATTTGTGTAATTGTTCTTTTACAATACGATAATCATCGCCGGCAAGAATCTTCACTAATTTTTCAGTTCGACATGTGTTCCGCACGAATATATCTGCCTATAATACATGGTTACTTTAAACAAAATTATTGTGGTAATTTTCAAACTTTTCTGGGGGCATGCCCAGGAAGGACTTCATCTCAACACCGCCTCCCCTCCCCCCCCCCTCCCCCCTGGGGGTCCCTGACTCAGAATAGATCGAGTTTCGCCACCCAGATGCGAAAAAGGATAGTTGTCGACCCTTATCTTAACGTGGAACCCCGTGCCCTAAATTTCTTTTGAATTTTCTTTTGTTCTGTCCCAGTATATGTTTACACTCTTTCTCTTATTTCTCAAATGATGGCAAATGCTTCGCTGTATTTCACTGTTTTTCTTATTGTATTTCCTTATGCTTGTGATTTTGTCGCTAGTGAAACCAGACTTTTGAATGAACACTTTCAAATTCTCCACACATACAACCCTGTTTTTCATAGTCAATTTAACTTGATCTTACCCTAGGTGAGACTCTGCTCAGTCCTCTGGTAATGTGTGGACCACATGGTACAAAATTTCTCAAGCCAGTGGAACTACGTCTTCCTCACTCCGCTTCAATGACACCCGAAGGATGGTCATTTGCTCTTAACTCTAGTAATAATTCGTCAGGTATAATCACATGGTCTCTATTTTCTCGGAGCTGTATGTACAAAGGTTCACTACATTTTCTCGGAGCTGTATGTACAAAGGTTCAGTACAGCCCCGAGTTTCGTTACGAAGCTTTATTGAAGTGACTGAAGCCCTTGTTCATTGTTTAAAACAGTTCCTTGATGGGTTACGAGCCAACACTGTTTAAATACGTAAAGCTATATTGTAACAAAATTAAAAGCAATCTGAAACGGTCCACGATACTACACTTCAAAAGCGAATTTCAAAATAATAAACGAGATTTAATGGAAGTGGGCTGCTCGAAGATGAGCCCACAGTTATTTAGTGCGCTGTTGTTTACAAGTTTTCACACACATGAAAAATTTTTCTAGTTCAAAAGCTAACATGACTAACTTTTGAACAGTATACTCCATATGAATGGGGAAAATTGTCAGTTTTGAGAACAAGCAAAAGTTTTCAAAAAACACTTGATCGTCTGTACGGGGCTTTTGAGTATGGATCTTCTTTTATTTAACCTATAGAGAACATAGTTTAGAACTGATAGAGTTATCTAACACGTATATATAGGGCCTCAACCTTGATTATTTCGGATATGACAAAACACCCATATTACTTGAAATTGCGCTTATATTTTCTATGTCATTTCAACTATAATTCACTGTATTCTTTTTACTCACATTACAGATGAAATGAAACGCTATAAAGTTGGGAGCAACAGCGTATCTGTTCTTGTTGATCATTTTTGAAATGAAGAAAACGTAATTGCAGTAGTCATAAAAAGAGTTAAATAGACAACATTCATTAACGTCTAATGATATATAACAAAATTCAACTGAGATATTTTTATAGTGATTCAGTCTAGTTTTTTATAGTTTGGAGGATAATTGAAAATCAATGAGAATGTAATTTTTTAAAAAATATAATAGTAATTTTTAGAGACCGTAATATGTGACATAATTATATAATACTGTTAAATTAGGCTATAGTGATAGTATCGTGAATTGGTGTTGAATTTTATTTGATACACATCAATTTTAGCATAATTCATCGTTATGATACCTTTCACCTGTGGATTTAACGTTCGCAGCATAATTTAGTTTTATCATATAAAAATTCGAGGGGCAAAGTACTCCAAAATTCTGAGAAAAATCCACGAAATGCTTGACAATTCTAAAAAGTCGAATATGATTGCGTTTTACCTCATAATTTCACCAGAATATTGAAAACAATAAGAAAATATCGTTTTATACTTCCTACAGAAAAATTCCCGACAAAATTCCCAAAAAGTCCAACCATTAAATGTGCGGACTTATCGTACATTTTCTAGGAGTGATTTGTCCCTCGTCAAAATTCATTTTCGCGCTGACTTCTAGATATAATATATTTCTCAATTAAAGTTTAGCTACTACGGTAAAGTATGCACATATATGATAAAGTTTAAGTCGACTGGGAGCAATTTTTAAGTTGTATCTGCCGTACGACAATGAGATAAATAATGATAAACTCTTCGTAATGGGTATAGATTGACTTCACTGTTTCTGAAAAGACGTCGTGACACCAGATATAAAAGTTTATAGTTTGTTATAATTATTGATGTGTAGATTATTTTTGTAATGATTTTTTTTATGGAAGCAAATAAATATTACGAAATGAACCTGTTATTGTGCGTGGCTGTTTATTTGTATGGGGACTAGCGAACATATTTGAACATGCGCTGTCAGCTTCTATGAAAGTTCAATTATACACACGCAAGAATCTTGCATCTTATAGCAATCTGCTTGTGCCAAGTTGTCAACAAGTTTGGAACAAGCTGTTAACTACTCGTAACAACCTTGTTGATATTATCAGACTTGTTGCAAGGTTGTTCCAACAAGTCCTATACAGTCGTGATATAACAATATTGTTACAACCTTGTGTCGTCAAACTTGTAACATTCTTGTTATATCATGACTGTATCAGACTTATTAGAACAACCTTGTAACAAGTCTGATAATGTCGTCAAGCTTGTTAGTGTCTGTTGGCCTCATGAACCAAGATAATAGCAACTTGTTTCAAACTTGTTACAACAACTAGGAACAAGCAGAGCGAACACAACTTGTCGACAGCTTGTGAACAAATTTGTAACAACTTGCTTGCAGACCTGTAACAACTTGTAGGTTTTTACGTGTAGTAGTTTTAGTGTAAGAGGTTCACAACTTGTCATGATCAACAAGATGTGTTCGCATTGCTTGTTCCCAATTGTTGACAAGTCTGGAACAAGTTGTTTAATTTAATATCTTGGTTGATGAAGCCATGTTGTTCCAGCAAGTCTGATGACGTAAGAAGTTGATGACAACAAACTCGTAGCAACTTGTTGTGAACAGCCTATATTATAGTCTTGTAATTAAACAAAATGCTCCTTGTATTACGACTTTAGTAGCGTCTTTTTAGGTCTATTAATGTTTATTTTTTTTGTTTCTATTTTTCAACTGTGTCGTTCAATGCCAAATAGACAAGATTTTGCCGTTGTCTGTTCCAGTTATAGATACACAGTTTGACGCATAGATATCTTATATACACTAGATAGTGCATCTAATTATTCTGCAATTCAAAAATTGAAGCCGTGATTGCGGATATTCCCATGAAATGAGAAGACTCGTATGTTTTCTACTTCTTAAACAGGGAACTTAAACATTAAGTTAAACCTATTCCAAATACATTTTCAAACTATTCAAATGATGAAAGTCAGTTATTGTTGTTAAGCGTTTATTAGCGAGTGGGAAACGCCAACATGGCCGCCATCTATTCAAATGGGGGTAACCGCTGGAATATTCTTGGCTTCAATTTTACTAAAAGAGATGCGCTATCTAGTCTATATAAGATATCTATGGTATGACGTCATAATGTGGGAAGAACAAAAACTGGCTCATGAGCCGCCGAGGCGTGTGGGTAATTTTTTTGTTCTTCCCACATTATGACGTCATACCATAGATATCTTATATACACTAGATAGCGCATCTCTTTTAGTAAAATTGAAGCCAAGAATATTCCAGCGGTTACCCCCATTTGAATAGATGGCGGCCATGTTGGAATTTCCCACTCGCTAATAAACGCTTAAAAAACAACAATAACTTTCATCATTTGAATAGTTTGAAAATGAATTTGGAATAGGTTTAACTTAATGTTTAATGTTAATGGAATAGGTTTAACTTAATGTTTAAGTTCCCTGTTTAAGAAATAGAAAACATATCTTCTCATTTCATGGGTATATCCTGAGTCTGCAATCACGGCTTGAATTTTTGAACTGCAGAGTAAGTAGATGCACTATCTAGTGTATATAAGATATATCTATGCTCATTCCATGCAATACTGCGTTTTCTACCAAAACTAAATTGTCATAATTTGATAAACACATGCACAAACGAAATTGGGCACCATTGAGATGTTCCACGTGATCACTTAGGTTTCTACAAGAAAGTATTCAAAAATTATGTGGATCGAATTAGATTTTTCTGCATTTTGAAGCGAGTTAACAAAATTACAAGACATGCTGAGATGTACTATGACTGTAGCCTAGTGCAAGCTAGCGGCAAAAAATCCATACCCGATGGCAAGGGCAGGTTGTATGAATAAGTAATTAAAGTTAACTACAGTAAGTGCAAAAGTTAGAATCACAATTTCGTAAAGTAGTTAAGCTTTTTATACAACCGCCGCCCCCGGGGATAATGGGGCATAATGCTTGGGGATGAGCAGTCAAAAAAGCAAAGCTTGTGCCTGTAATTAAAATATGAAATAACATCATGTTCGTTCGGTAGATGATAAGAAAGTGTATGAGCTAAATTTTTGGCTGATTAATCAATGGTGTTCTTCGACGAAACACATTAGATGTGATGGTTTTGAAATGCGAATGATTCCGGTGACGCATATATTCAACTTTCATTTAAACGCAAGATGCTTTGATCTTCTATTTTCTCTCGTCTTATTTATAAAATTTCTTAAAACCAGAGAATAACAGGTAGAAATTAACAATTAAGATTAAAACTCATGCTTATAGAAATTTCATCAAATACTAAATTATATAGACGAGTTATATGTACTAATATGGTAAATTTTCCCTGTTTATAGAAGAACTAAAAATAAAAAATGCCAAACAAGTTTCAAAAAGAATGTTTTGACGCTCATAACGACTATCGTCGTCAACATGGAGCGCCAGCACTGAAATGGTCGTCAAAACTTGCCAATGATGCGGATAAGTGGGCCAAAGACTTGGCCAAAAGAGGGGTAATTCAGCACGCTAGCTCACGTGATCAAGGCGAGAACATAGGATATAAGTCAGGTAATAATCTGTAAATTTTAGGGCTCAGCCAACGGTGTAGATATGCTTGAGGCTTATATGGGCGGCGTATGTACATTCAGGGTTGAACCTCGGTCAAACGAGAACGAGACTTGCATGAGAGTTGATGATAGCAAACACTTTCATTAAAATTTTCATCAACTTTTGTTAACTGTCATCAAACTAGCTCAAACTTGATGATAGTCGATGAGAATGGATGGTCAAGAGAGTTGGCGGTCAAATGTGCGTGCAGGGAATAACATCTCTCTTGAACTCTCATCCTCGTTTGACCAGGGCTTTATGTCAAGTAATATATTCACTTATATAAGCGTGATTTGAAATTGAACTACCATACCAAAAAAATTGAGAGCGTTTCGACGTCGGGTACTAAAACTAAAGGGCCTTTCCAAAGCAAAATACGGCAGATTGTTGTCGAATACGACCTACGTTGGGCCCCATCAAGGGGATGATGGGGAAGCCGGAACTGGGGGCAGGAGGGGCAGCCGCCCCCGTTGCCCTTTACCAGGAGGGGCAAGGGGGGAAAGGTGCCCTTTCAATTTAAAGGATTGCCTTGGCGAAATAGCGAATTGTTAGAAATGTTAGTGGAATTCTTTTACGAATTTGCTTCAGAAAACGCAAGAAATGCAGTCATCGAGCTTCAAGAATAGCGCAATCGCCTGGCGGAGAACCCCCTCACACCCCTATCATCCAATAAATAGAAAACATGATTAGGCGCAGTTCAACTCCCGATGTTTTGCAAACATCTCTTAGTATATATCAATTCAAAAGTGCCCTTTCACGAAAATCTGCCCCCCTTGCCTTCACATCGTTCCGGCGTCCCTGAGGGGATCTGGTGACAAGAAAACGCGGGACTGCCAGCAGAGCCTGGTTGTTCGATTGATATACGTCACCAACAGATTACAATGTGGTAGTCTGACTTTTAATAGATATGTACCTTTAAAAGAAAGGTACTTTTCATGCAAGGAGGATAAACATAATTCAACATTAGATTCAACGAAAAGTCAAAAAGCAAACGTTCTTAATTAAACAAGACCTCTATTAACATATAAAACTCCATGTTGTCCCTTATTTGTCTTATTTCTGTAAGATATTTACCCTCTCAGTGAAGGTCCTTTAATTTTTGTTTAAAATATATGCAAAGCGAGAACCTTATTAAGAAGACTGTTTTAATATTCCTATATGCATGACCAAACCTATGTTTAACGGATGAAATATATCAAAAGATCTTGCCTATCTGTCAAAAGTACCAGAGGCTCAAAACCACGGACATTTTCTGCGGTGCCCTTCCCAGGCCCTGGGGTGCCCCTCCCAGACCCTACAATTTTGCACTTTTCTAGTTCCTCTCCTAGTTAGATCCTTTCCATGATACCCTCCCTGCTCCCACAGACGAATCCTTAAAATAGACCTTGTTTTTAGACGGGCAATGATACACGTGCCATTACCCCTAGCTAGGCACCAGCTTGACTACTTTTGTAGAATTGATTCCTAGATTGATTCCATTGATGTAAATAGAAGATGCTCAACTCCACACAATTCATTCATATCTTCGCCTAATGTTACTTCTAGGTGGTGAGTTATCAGGCCAACGAGCTGCGGAAATGTGGTATGAAGAAATTAAAGATTACCGTTTTGCCAGTCCTTCATTTGGTTCAAAAACTGGTCATTTTACTCAGGTCATTTGGGTTGGCTCTCGAGAGTTCGGCGTGGCGAAAGCGACGGCGAAAAACGGTGCACAGTACGTTGTAGCAAGGTATTATCCTGCTGGAAATGTCATGGGACACTTTCCAGAGAATGTCAAGCCAGGAGGTTCAAAAGTGTCAAAAGCTGATAAAGAAGCAGGTATGATAATTTCGTCAGTATTATTTTATCTGAAATTGTCGCAAACAAATCTGAGCGAAATCGAGTTTAAATTTTGACATTCCTCTCGTCCATCCCTTTTAGCCATTACGGTTGTGGCAGCTAATGCTGCTTTACCGGTTCCAAGGTTATCAAAACAGTACGGCTTCCAGTATATTTGTTATATTTTCACTCCTGACCAGTGAACCTCTCTCGATGTAAGATCCTTAAGTTTGCGTTGAACAGATGCCTGGAATACACCACTTGTGTTATCCAGAATTTGTCAATCGTAATCTATACATACCTAAAACGTCATTCTAAATCTCATTACGGAACAACTTTCATAGACTGACCCGTTATTTCTGTTATCCCTCTTACCTGAATAAATCATCACAGATGGCCAGTTACGTTTTTCACAGTTAGATTTGGAAAATGCAGTTATAGGTCATAATTATATACCTATAGCGAACTGCAATTCTTTACGAGGTAAATAAGTGATGCTCTTAATGCGATATTGTTATTGATTGATGCGGACAGTTCTATAACGGTCTATAAAAGTTCTATGATTCTTAGTCACCTTTGTCCTTTTTGTTGTAAATGGAGCAATGGCCGCTCTTGTCCATTGACCGAAATTTGTATGCAGATATCCTGAGGTTTTATATTCTATCTTTATAGCTGCAGGGAGCAAACCGAAAAATTTAAAGAAAGATATACTTGACACTCACAACAATTACCGGCGTCAACATGGAGCGCCGCCGTTACAATGGTCCTCAAAATTGGCCTCTGGCGCTGAACAGTGGGCGAAACAGTTGGCAAAACAAAATAAAATACAGCACGGAACTGGGGAATTCGGAGAAAACATCGCATTCATGTCAGGTAAATATTTAACACTGGTCATTTTCCTTGTTTATGCGAAGATGGGTCCGTTGTCACCACGGAAATAAAATGTACTATAGATAAATAAAACTCTGTATTGCTTGCAGTGACCATGACAGAGAGATTATATTCCTTGCTCAGAAGTCAATCACATCGCTCATACTATCGCAACAAGTGGAAACGTCCACGTGTAAATACTTGCACTCTTGTAAATACTTGCACCATTTGTTATTTCTAATGTCAAATTAGGTTACTAGCTATTTGTTTTCCAATCTTTCTTTTCCACACTGTTTATTTTAACCATAGGGAAATAATTGAACGATTAGATACGAATTTTTAAACGATTGAAAATGAAAGTCATGCATTAGTGATCTTTTGAATTTTCAGTGTAGTTAGTGCATTGAACATGAATTTCGATTCCATATCGTTATTTTAACATTTTGAAAAGACTGAAAGGGATTTGCGATGCATGCTGTCAGACAATTGGGAGTAATGTATAAAAAATCAGAAACCGTTTGCCGTGTAGAAAAAAACCCGAAAGTGTGTTGAAAAACAAGGTGCTAGCCAAGTTTTTTCAGATACTTGAGGTTGTTTTATACGCCGGTAATAAACAGCTTTGGAGTTTGTTATATTATATACTTCTCAAACGGACTTTATACTTAAAAAGAAATTCAAGAATTCAAGGTCGTTTATTATACCGTGATATCAAGACAACGATACAGTGCTGATTTCCTTTGGATTTCGCTCAT